AGCTTTTGACAAGTTTTGACATGTTTTTCCGGTTTTGACCGCTTCAGACAGGTTTTGACCAATTTTGGCAAGTATTACGTATTTTGACAGCTATTGACCAATTTTGACAGGAATTAACCGGTTTTGACAAGTTCTGACAAGTTTTGACAAGTTGACAAATTTTGACCGATTTCGACAGGTCGAGACCGATTTTGTCCACTTTTGACAAGTTTTGACAGGTTTTGACCGACTTAGACAGGTCTCGACAGGTCTCGACCGATTTCGACAGGTTTCGACAGGTCTCGACCGATTTCGACAGGTTTCGACAAGTCTCGACCGATTTCGACAGGCTTCGAAAGATTTTGACGGTTTTTTGTCAATTTTGACCAAAATATGCACTTATGCAAGATAGGACTTACTGGAATTTTGCTATAACGAACGAGGCCCACTCGGAACCACAGAATACAAGGTCAGCACGCCTGAAAACCGCCGCATACCACGTCTGTTGTAAATGGGTCCACTAACGGCGAACTCAACAATAGTGCGGGACAGCCAGGCCCACGGGTGTTTTATGCGTACAGTATTAGCTACGGGAAGCTCTGGACGGCCGAAAAGTGAATATGCGCAACTTTGCGCAGGTCCACCGTGTTCCCCACACTTCAAAGCATATGTTCCGCAGTGAGTCGGTGCTGGGTCGCATTGAATGCGATTGAAGCGAGTAAAACAGGGATGTAAACAGAAAACTTTTAAGCAATTTCACCTAAATTATCGACTTTAAATCGAGTCAGGAGTAGCCACTGTAGGTCAGGCGAGTAGTGTTATGTTAAATGCAAGTACATTAACTCTGGGGAGCGATAGGGACTGCCTGGGGTTAGTTTAAACCACGATTCAGAGGCAATTTTAGCAAAGTTTGAAATTGACTAAATTTCTCATTGTTCTATCTTTGCACTGCCATAGCTCCCAAACGAAAGGTCTCAGGTCAAAATCCTCTTAGGACTTGTTACTTTGGACACTTTTGAACCCATTCTGACCACCA